ACAGAGACATAAAAAGGCTTCCCCAATGCAGGCGGCTCACTCCAGATCCGTGAGGCATGAATACTCAAGAGCGCCTCATTTACTATTAAAAGCCCAAGGGGAAGGCAGACAGAGCTTACACTGCACTCACATCCTAGATTTTTAGACAATCTCCCTAAAATACACTTGGCCCTCTGTTCCTCCGTATCCATGGGATCTGCATCTGTGGGTATGGAGGGCCGACTGTATTCACTGTTCAGTATCATTTTGGTTAAGAGAAGTGGGCATCTATGGATACTCATGCACCCCCAACTGGGGGTCCTGAGCCAATCCCTGGTGGAAACTGAGGGACGACTGTAGGTGCCAAGGCCCCTGGGGGAGACAACCTGCAGTCACAGGTATCCTCCTGATCACACTCAAGAACACCTCAGGGAAGAGCAGCCACTACCCTGCCATGGTCCTTGGCCACCCATGTGCTGTCATGAATACAATGGGCCAGGCTGTGGGCAAGCATGTGCTCAAGAACTGGTGGCTGCCATGACTCTTTCATCTGTGCCAATTTGGAGAGGCAGTCGTGCAGGAAGAAATAGTCATGGCTTTAATTCAGGACTCAGTTCCATGAGATCACACTGTGTTTCAATTTAAATGAAAAGACAAAATGCAGTGCTGTGTATTTTATGAAGATCAACAAAACCTAAGGGTGGTATAAGGACGGCTATGGGCACCTCCAGTTTCCATCTGCCAACTGTACACTGGAGATTCTTCCTTTGACTTTTTGTTTGATGAAAACACATTACCTTTGGACACTTCATCAGGGATAAGAACAAAACCTACAAAACGCTAGAGTTCGCAGGTGAATTAGGAGTAAGACCAAATAGTAAGAGCCCAAGAAGACAGATAGCAGCGAACAGATGTACTCTGTATACAAAAATTCTACACATGTGAATGAATTAAAGGGGTGGATGGAAGGACTGCAGAGGTATAAACTAAACGGAATATTTACAGGTGTTGATTTATACTAGCCCCTCTGGTGCTTGGGCCCAAAAGGGCTCGACAGTCTCACAACATGGAGCCATATTTTAATGCCTTCTACTATGAACTGATGGCCAATTATGTGGAGAAAGATTACATGTGTTTTATCTACAAAATAATATAAACTCTATGAAGTCAGAGAGCTGGACAAATTCACCACCTGACCTTCTTTCACCACTTTCCCAACCTGGCTGGCTTTTAGAGGCTGATTTTTCTCCTTCCTTCACACACCATAAATTCTGGCCAAATACCAAAGCTAGTCTACTGACCTGGATAATTACCCCCAGCTTGTAACATAGATGCTGTGTCCTGCTAACTTTTCTAAACCTAGGAAATATTAGTTGGAAGGACTCCATTCACAGTTATGAACTTACACCTGTGGCAAATAAGAGACTAAAGTTGTTCTCCACCTAAAATATTACAGACTCCCTCGCTTGCCTTAATATAAAAAGCCCCTTTAGCCAATTTCTAGAATCTGGTGTACCAGACTTAGCTGTTAAAACCAGTCTTTTCCGAACTGCTAATATTAAGTAAGCTTTTAATTAGTGGGTTCAATTTATTATTCATAATTTTACTTTCCAACACATCTGATTTTTATATTCAAACTCCAAAGAAACCCCACAAAAGGGGAAACTATGGAAAATGATCACCTTGAGCTGTTGGAACTCCTGTACCCTACGGGAGAGAATATAAACCTGGCATTACCATTTTGACAAACTTTTGGCACCATCAACTAATGTGAATACATGGATTTCCTCAGACTCATTCAAGGCACATAACAAATTCCACTGCTTAAGGGCACACACAGAAATGCACACCAACGCCCCCGTAAGACAGGCGCACATCCATGATCACAGCAGCAAAGGCTATTTCTAGTAACTAAAACGGAAAAGAATCGAGCATCCATCAACAGGAGAATGGGTCATGGTATATAATAAATCATGGCAGAGCCACACAGTGGAACACACATAGTAAGAATAAAGAGCAAATCTATGACCAGTCACGACAAGGCAGATGCATCTCACATACACAGTATCGACTGAAAGCAGCCAAAAGGACAAAAATCAGCAGGAGATCCCATCCAGATATCATTCAAAGCCAGACCAAAGAATCTATGGTGTTGGACTTTGGGACAGTTGCTACCCTGGGGGAGGGAGGAGATAGCAAAAAGCCATGAGGGTTCTTCTGAGTGTTGGTTACACAGGTATGTTCTCTTTGTTAAAAATCATCAAGTATTTACTAGGGCTAGTGTATGTTTTCATATGTATGTTACATTTCAATAAAAAAATTTTCAAGAAAACAGGGACTTTCTTGGCAGTTCAGTGATTAAGACTCTGCACTTCCACTGCAGGGGGTGTGGGTGCGATCCCTGGTTGGGGAACTAAGCTCTCACATACCGGATGGCAAAAAGAGAATAGCTTGGCACAAAAACACTCTCATTATACACGTAACGATCCTTTTCTTCAAAATTCACTTAAGAAAAGCCTATTTCTCTAAGTAAAAAGAGAAACATAACCTATTTGTATTCTACAGGCTATTTTACAAACTCTAGTTTTTCGTCACTGTCTCTGTGAAAGAATATAGCTATATCTGAGTCTGCTATCAATCCCCTTGGTCCTCCATCACAGGAAGGGGCATCGTGATATCACTTTGGAATAAGAGGGAGTCCGGCAAGAAGCATGGCTCCACCATGCGGCAAGGCAACATAGCCTTGACATGCATTAGTTCTTCACTTCTAAAGGGAGGACAGTGAGAAGTAAGTAAAAACACTGTGGGTGAAGGGCCTGGCATACAAACACCTGTTCTCACCAGGATGTAATTTAGAAAAAAAGCAGAAGGATACTTTTTCTAAACGCAGATGGTAGAGAACTTCCTGAGAAATTCTGTGAATAGTTACTGCGGATGGTGATGCTTCAATACCATTAAGAACAAATGCCACAGCAAACCTCCTCTTAAACATTTATTCCAAGAGTTTAAGGAATTAAAATTTAAAATATCTGTTTTTGAAAAAAATCACTTTGGGATCATCATTCTGTTAAGCATTCATAGTTTTTAACGTGTTAGAAAATTAGATTTTAAGACCCACTCAAGCAGACAGAAGGACTGAGAAGCAAAGTAATCCTGTGTCATGAGCCTGGCAGACTTCTTAAACTATTTTCACAAATGTCATATAGATCAAGCAGCAAGTCTAATGATGCTAGTAAATTCCACAACTGTGATCTGTGTGTGTTGTGTGTGTGTGTGAGAGAGAGAGAGAGAGAGACCCATTTTTGGGTCAAGCCAATAAAAACTAATGCCTAAACATGTTTGGGCCTGTAAAGTAAAATTTCATATTGGTAACATAAATTGTCAGATCATAGTTGTTTCAGTCATGGCTTCCTCAGGCAAACACACCTGCTTATTTCTATGAGGTTTAGAAATTCTGCCATTTGAGGAAGTCAGGTCAACTGACGTTAGTAACATTGAGAATCTTCTCAGGCTTCCAAGGGTCTTCCTATTTTTATTTCAGCTGAGCTCTGCACACCTCGGCCAGAGAGCCTGCATCCCACTCTAGAAAGTATAGACTTTGGCTCTGGAGGCACCTGACACATTACCATAAAGTACCTATAAAAATCTTACAGGAAAACTGTTACTAGAGCAGTATAGTATACCACACAGCCACATATATTACCTTCCATCAAGGGAAGGAATATGGAAAGAGATGCTGCAATTAAAGGTATATTTTATGTTTTAATGATGTCAGCAGTTTGAAAGAATTGTGAGCTCAACTTTCAAGGTAGTTAAAATGTGATAAAAAGCTGCCAACTTGAAGGGCACCCACGAACTAAAAGATGGGACAATTTCAGAATGAAAATGAGTAAGGTCCATAACACTGAAACACATAAATAAACAAAGGACATACAAATTCACAATACTAAAAGCATACGCACACAACAGAAAAATCCTTATTGGTCACCTTTGGAGACTTTGCGGGGGCAGGGAGTGGAGGGGGGGCTTGGGGGAGGAGGGAGGACTCCTTATTCAGGTAACTAATAAATAAAGGGAAAGAATGAAATATTTATCCAGGCTTTTTTGCAAGGATTGATTTTCAGGGTAACAAAATGACTGGTGAAGACAAGCTTTTGTAATAAAAGAATCACTGCTAGCAAATGTAGAATATAAATAAAGGCAGAAAGGACAATAAATTCAGAAATCTTACCATTCTGCAACACCTGATGAAATAACTGATCTAGGAAGCAATTCTCATTGGCAGGTGAAATCTTAAGTGAGTCATTTAATGGGGAACTTAGGAACACCAAAACCACTGGCAAACCTGAATGTCACCAAGAGAGAATGGACATCACAAGAAAAATGCCTGCACCCCCAAAGTGACCCTCAACCTGCACAAATATCCAGTGCCATCCTGTGGTTTATTTATGGGAGATGTCTGGGAGGGGCAAAGAGGGGAGAAGGCCATGTGAAGACACCATGCACCTGGAGTGCACGGTCCGGCACAGCCACAGGCGCAAGACCTAGACTTCTTCAACACGCGAAGTGAAGCTGTGCAGCAGGCATTTGGGGGCTTATTACGCTATTCTATTTTCATCTACAGAAGATTTCTACAACAAAAAGCTAAGAATGGCAGAAAGGTGACGATCACTGAAAATGCATCATAAGAGATCACTGTACTTTTCTTTTCATGTCTAGCTTTGAAATGTCAATTAAAAAAATAGTGTAGACAACCCAAGGATGCATTTTTAAGGAACTTAGGGATATACTGCTGACCTATCCAAGAAAAAGGCATCATGCCAACAGGACCCTGGAAAGAGAACCCAGCAGGCTTCACGTGCTGATGGCTGTAAAGCCAGATTCACTTGTCTACCACATCCTGGCAGACGATGGACATTCTGCACAGTCTCAGTCAGAAGTCCCCAACGGCGAGGTCTGAGCCCCTGAAGCTTTGAGCACAAGGATGGGCCCAGCCGCATCTGTGAGCAGACTCCTCTCACCTGGCTGGGGCGGGTGAGGTGGTGGCATCTGGTGGTGCATCAGAGGGTAGGGAGGGGGCTGCTGATGAGGCATCATGCCAGGATGTCCTGCTGCTCCCAGCGGCGCCAGGCTGGGTCCTCCTGAGTGCTGGTGTGCCTGCTGAGGGTTCGGCCCGTGCTGCTGCTGTTCCATTTGCTGTCGGGCTCGCAACTCAGCGTATTTCAGCTGCTCCATGTGGAAGTTCTGGCGCTCCGTAAGCAACTGCTGCCTCTGTTGTTCTAACTGTTAAGAAAAGGAAAGAGGAATGACACCAGGAGAGGCTTTCAGGATTGGATGCCAACACAGGACATCTACATGGTGAAGTTCCCCAAACCTCATCACCATTACATCGTCACCTCCTCTCCTGCAACCACCAGAGTCAGAGAAAACACACTGCTTCTTGAGAAGCATGAGGTCAAGTTTTTCTCTATGTTAAGTATAAGATTTGCCTTTCCTTGGAACCTTCACCCCATGTGGGGTAACTGTACTCAGGACACAGGTAATCCCTCTGTTTGGCAGGCCTTCAGATATTTAAAAAACAGCTTGCACGACCACCTTACTCTTCCTCAGGTGACACAAGCATCTCTTGTCCTCTTGATAGTTCCTTAAGATACTAGTATTTCAAGTCCAACCATTTTAGGTGCTCTCTTCTGAAAGTGATCCTTTTTGGCTACTATTTTAGAATGTGACATCACAGTTAAATCCTCTTCACAAGTGGACGAGGCCTTAGCTGGAAAGATACACAGCTTCTAGATGGAACTTTGTAACTGCCACTGTAAATCTTAGCTTCCAAGTAGCCAAAATTATACTGGCTGACACATTCACAGCATATTTTCAAAGTCTAAACAAAAATTTACATGACTCGTGGTCTGAAGAATATAAGCATTTCAGTATTCAAGATAATCTTTCTGGGGCCCAAATTAAAACACAAAGAAGTAAGAGAATTAAGTTATTATAAATAAATACATATGTTATTATAAATACATGAGAAGTAAGTTATTATATGTGCTAGAAAATTGAGAAACCATATGCCAAACAGTAGCTCAGAATGGGTGGTCACCTTAAAAGCCATCAAAATTAATTTAAACCCAGAGCTGACAGAGAAAAATCATCTTTAACATGAACAAAATTAAAAATCCAGGTTTCTAGAAGCAAGCATTATAAAGATCATAAGGAGGGTTTGATCTATTTCTACTCTACAATGTTCTACCCCACCATTTTCGAGAGCAAGATCTTATTCACTGGGAGGCATTTCTATAGCAGCCACAATGGCTCTTGGGCACTTGAGATGTGGCTAATCTGAAAGGAGATGTGCTATCAATGTAACATCTGCACTGAATTTTGAAATCTAAAAAAATTAATTTTTCATACTGATTACATGTTAAGAACATACATATATTGCATTAAATAAAACATCTGTATGATTTTATTGTTGTTTTTTAATGTGGCTACAAGAAAATTTTAAATAACATATATGGATCACTATATTTCTGTTGGAGAGCACTACTCCAAGCATTTGATAAGGTAAGGAAATGTAACGTTTTGGCTTTCAGGAGCAGTCAGTTTTATAGATAAATACTACATACTATCATTCGCAAAATCTAGGTAGAATATGCATGAGTATTTGCTTGCAAATCTGGGCTTTCAGCAGAGAGCAGCTTGGGGAGAAGTCCCTGAGGAGCCTAGTGAGAAGCTTCACTGGCTGTCAGGAGTTAGCTAGGAGGGAACATCCACAGATGGACTGGGTGTGGGAAGACAGGCCGTGGACACAGCATGAAGACAACCAGCCTGGCCAGGTGAGGAGGAGAAGAAAGGGAGAGAACAGATGGCAACACTTATACCCTGTGTGTTGTTTAGCTGGCTTGCAGTCTCCCTTGGAAGATGGTTATCGGAAACGAACGATTCTGTGAGTGGCTGAGGGTGATCAGGAGAGAGGAGACAGGGTGCCACTGCTACCACGGTCCAGCAGGTTGGTGGGAGCTCTTCCTAACAGTGACCAGAAGAGGCTACAGCCTGCTCAGTTTAACATACCCTTCTTTTCAGAATTGGAAGGGAGCTGTAAGATGTCAACAGCCAGAGAATCCTCTGCAAGAAGTCCAGCTCTGCAAGATGACTAATCAGTGAGATAATGTAGATAAAAGGTAATTAAAAAAAAAAAAGAAAGAAATCTAAAGACTCTGACCATAAGTCCTAGGTTTTGCATTCTTCTAACCATTCTTTCCAGGAAATTTAGCACTACCCTGAAGTTAGACTTACAAGGTTGCCAGAAAAGGACCTCAACCTTCGTTCCTGTTGAGCCACTATTGCTCTGGACAGCTTTGCTGAAGTCTTGCAGTTATGTAAGAACTCTAGAATACAGGGCAAGATCTGCTTTATAAAAAGCTGAACTGTTACTGGTGGGAGATTTTGTGTCTCTGAAAGGAAATTTTACCTATCTCAGTGTTTGTTTATTTTAAAACCAAACTAGCCTTTCTTTAGGAGCTGACCTTAGTATCAAAGTATTAATCTTGGAGAGAAAAACTTACCCCACCTTCCTTGTCTAGTGAAGTCGCTCAGTCATCTGATTCTTTGCAACCCCATGGACTGTAGCCTGCTAGGTTCCTCCATCCATGGGATTTTCCAGGTAAGATTACTGGAGTGGGTTGCCATTTCCTTCTCCAGATCTTCCTGACCCAGGGATTGAACCCGGGTCTCCTGCATAGTAGGCAGATGCTTTACCATCTGAGCCACCAGGGAAGTCCAATCTTGGTCTAAAATGAACTAAACTCAATTATACTATTTTCTCATGAGCTTCAATTATCACTTCAAAACATACAAAGTTATTAAAAGATAATTAGAAGAATTAAAAGGATGTGATTAAATATAGATATGCACATACACACACACCTGAAAGAACCCAATTTAATGGGGAAGGAAATGGCAACCCACTCCAGTGCTCTTGCCTGGAAAATCCCATGGACAGAGGAGCCTGGAGGGCCGCAGTCCATGGGGTCGCAAAGAGTCAGATACGACTGAGTGACTAAGCAACATTAACTTTTTAAAATAACAGTTCTCATCACCTGATAAAGTTTTTTTGTATTTATGTGAGATGAAGAATGTTAACTAATTTTGTCAATCGTTAGGTTGTATACCTTAACTTATGATATTCTACATCAGTTGTCTTGCAATAAAACTGAAAGAAAAACAGTTTTAAAACAGAAAAAAAAAAAAAAAAGAACCCAATTTAAGCTTTAGATTAAACGTGCAATGAACAGGTCCTGTAAAGTGAGAGCAATGTCCACGGCAGGTTACCAGCTGGTTCCAGGAGGACTACCTCTGTTCTGGGGAGCATGCAGCAGAGTTGAGGGACACGTACTGGCCCCACCATACAAAAGGCATCTCTCTTTGTTACAAGTAACTGACCATTGCTGCCTGCATGCTAAAGTTGCTTCAGTCGTGTCCGACTCCGTGTGCCTCTAGGAACTGTAGCCCACCAGGCTCCTCTGTTCATGGGATTCTCCAGGCAAGAACAATGAAGTGAGTTGTCGTGCCCTCCTCCAGGTGATTTTCCCATCCCAGGGATCAAACTCTCATCTCTTACGTCTAACCCGCATTGGCAGGTGGGTTCTTTACCACTAGCACCACCACTGTTACTCAATCTAACTGCCATTTTGTGGCAATCAAATGTGAATGTGAACTGTGGATTTCTGAGGAGAGTACGACAGTTCTGAGAAAATCTGAAATTCACAAAACCAATAAGCCAGTGATTCTACATGTGGAAATCTGTGCTAGAAAACTGTATGTATGTTTGTATAAGGATAGTCATTAATGTATTATTTTTGATGTACATTTATGTCTGAGATACAGAGTATAAAAAAAGCAAGTTGCAAATAATAATATTTATAACAGTTATATATATATAAAAACTTTGTGGTCACATACAAACATTATCTACTCATTGAAAATGTGCTGGAAGACACTAAATTATTAACAGTGATTATTTCTAGGAATAAATTTGAAGTCAGTTTTTAATGTTTCATATTGTTTGTGTAATCACAAAACAGAACACTAAAACTGACCAAATTACTTGCTTCAGATAGTGACTTTCTTCTCCCCCTTTTCTATGATCAAAGACTATAGATAAGTTCCCACAGCTAAGCCAAATAGTGTAGATTACTCCTATAAACAGGGAGTTAATGAATTTGTTCACTTTCTTTCACAGCTCCAATCTGGGTTTAGGGAACCCAGTATCATACAAAGCTGCCTGTGGCTCTGATCTGAAGACACCCCCGACCCCCATGGCATTCAAACTCTGCCTTTCTCTCCCTCTTCATTCAGACACTGTGTATGTATAAAGCAGCAAATCCAAGCGGAACCGGAACACAACAGAGCACTTTTCTACACCAAGACCCCAAACGCACACACAGCTGCAACTGCAGCTGAAGTTCACACAGAGCTTCTCTCCCAACTTCATTTGCATAGAACAGGGAGGAGGGGTGGGAAACAGTAAAAGGAGGTGGGGGCCTCAAAAATCCATCTATACTGCCAAGGGTAGTGGCAGAGCCTTGAAGACTCCGACTACTTGGCCTCAGAACTGAAGTAAATAAACACACCTTCCTTTGAAAAGTTTGATATCAATGAACAGAAATCCACTTAAGAAAAAAGTGGGCATAATCATTCCTTTGTACACCTCTGGAAAAACAAAACAGCACAACTGCATCTTTCTGCTTCCACACCTGCTTCTGGAGGTGGAAATCCCAAAGTGGAGCCGACATCATTTTTGTGACCGGTCACCTGTAAAGTCCTAGTAAAGTGCCTGCTGCCTGAAGCCCTACATTTGTCAAGTAAACTCACTTCTAAGTACAGCTTTCTTAATCTCAGATAAAACCATTCATAATGTCATGGTGCCTGTCTACCAACAGATTCAATTACATGATAGGCGGTACGAACATGAAAGGGGGCTACCCCAGGGGCTCAGAGGTATGAAGAAACTGCCTGCAATGCAGTAGCAGCAGCAGATCTGGGTTTGATCCCTGGGCCAGGAAGATCTCCTGGAGAAGGGCATGGCAACCCACTCCATTATTCTTGCCTGGAGAACCCCACGGACAGAGGAGCCTGGCAGACTGCAGTCCCATGTCCGACTCTAGGGTCACAGAGTTGGACATGACTGAAGTGACTTAGCACACACACACACATGCACAGAGACAAGCTACTGTCAATACCAATACACAGGAAACGATTCTTCCGGGGCAGTATAAAATTAA